TGTGCCTGTTTGGTGGGCTTGGGTATCATCAGTCAGTCATATATCTGTGCTCTGTCTACATCAGGCCAGGTAAAATCAGGTAACATCAGGTCAGTGAAATAGGTTCAAGCTGTTACCTCTCATTGAGCTTAGACTCACAACTCACAATTACATCTCCACTCTCTAAACTGATTCCTGTCCTGGGATCCACTGTGGCCTCTAAATCTCCAGGTTAGGTTACTGCTGGCTGGACTACAAAAACAAAGAAACTGCATACAAGTTTCATACAATGCATACAAGTTTATGTCCTACTCTTGCCATCCTTACAGTGAAAAGCATCTCTTCCAGTTACCAGCACAGCTCAGCAGCTAAGGGAGGAGGAGTTACTCAGTGTTCTGTTCTGCATGCATAACCATGTGGAATTAACTCATTTAATCTCCCTCTCTGCAGGACTGTTCCTGCAGACAACATCCCAAGGGAAGCTATGGTATCTTTCTGAGTTCCTTACTATTCTGAATACATGTCTTTATGAAATACCAACTTGCAAACGACTGGAAAATATGTAGCAACTGGACAAATCAATACAATGGAAAGGGTGCTACAATAGAGGAGTGATGACGGGAGGACTGGTACAATAAAAAGCTGCTATAAAGGAAGGGATGAAGATTGCTCACCCATATCAGAAGATTCTAAGTTCACAAGAGAAAGCCTCACCAAGGAGGGATCTCCAGAAAGAGATCCTTCCTCAGTGGGGGGTCAGCCCTGAAATGAGGTCTAAGAAAGGTGCAGCCAGGCTCCACCCCTTCTGGTCACACAGCTGAATTGCCTTCACCTGTGCTCCCAGGGCTGACTGGGTCTTTTCCCCAGATGATTGATCAGTGGTTCAGGCCATGATCAACAGTTCCCATACGGTCTAGGAGAATACTTCCCCAACTAACGTGCATACATTTCCCTCTCCAAGATATTGATGGCATCCAGGTTGGGATACGTCCAAGCTAAATTACATGCAAGTCCTATTTAATGGAAAAGGATTCAAGCAGGAAGTTGCCCTGCTTAATGCTTCCTTGATTATGCTGTGCTAAACCCTTAGAAGCCAAGGGCACAAACGCTCGTGGCAGCTTCTGCTGTTAAGGACCGCATCGTCCTTCTGTCCCATCATGCAACCCAAAGTCCCTGCCTTCATATTTCAAAACCCTCTATTGGACTGGTTCAGCTATCAGAGAATTCCCTCATAGGCCCACAGTCTGACCTAACAGCTGTGTTTCACAAGACCATACAGCAGGGATGGCCTGCGTGTACTGGAGACTGGGCTGACGCCTACTGGCTGCCAGCTGCAGGCCTCTGCCCCTCAGCAGGGCAGGCTGAGGGCAACAGCCTGATTTTCACAGCTGCAAGCACTTCCTATCTCTTTGGCCTGCTTTTCTATCAGCACCTCTTCCCACTGACAACTCAATAATGCATTATTAGCATGGAAAAAAACCACAAGTATTGCTCTCAACTTCCTTGTTACTTTGTGCAACTGCACCTCATATCCTTGCTTTACCACCGCCTTTCTCCATACCAAGCTGTGCTCTCTTTGGACTCTGTGTCCCTTTTAAGCATTTCTGTACCATTTTTATCCTTACACCTCCTCCCTTGTGCCTCTGGTGTTGCTCAACTTGTAGATGTTACATCAATTTATTATCTAACTCTTCCATTTTCATGCAACTGAAAGCAATGCACCACAGCCATGTGTACTAGAGGCAGCCTGAGGTGATGGCAGGGCTATGGGCAGTGCCAAGCTCTATCTGGAAGGAAAGATAAAGAACATGTATTTGTGTAAAGTAAAAGAGAAGTGGAGACGGTGAATCTAAAGGGCTAGTTTCAGTCTGTATCATATTGACAGACTTTAGCCATCCTCAGGCTTAAGCCAAGTCATCCGGGACATTTCCAGGAATCAGGGCAGAGGAATAAGACCTCTTCTTCCCACTTCTGTTTTAAATGCCAACAACTTCTATCTGTAAAAATTCAAGGAATTTCAGTGGAATGTGGCAAAATTTCCAGTTAGAAAACAGAGTGTGATCTTTTATCAAAGTATATCTTTCTTTCAAAAAAAATAAAAATAAAAATCTGGCCAAAAATTCATTGACAGGAGAGACATTGAGCTTCAACTATCTGAACTTGCTATAGGTCTTATCACTACTGCACGTGTGCTTCAGTCTGAGAGCAAGCAGGATGACTAGCTGTGTGACCAAGGCTTTAGTCTATGGAACCAGCACTAAGACTTCTCTTTCTAACACGTCACGCTCACATAGCGGGCCTATCTGCACAAGGGCACCAATGCCCATTTCTGAAGCAGATGGCAAACCCACAAGAGATGCTGGGACGAGATGTAGAACTGCAGAGACAGCTGATTGGACCTGGGAACCACAGCACACCACATGGGAACAGCATGAGTCCATAGAAGCTCTACTGCAGTAACAATCACCACAAGTTTACCACATGCACTTCTTTGTTTCTAATATTCTTCTACCAACTATTCACAGCTTCTGCTGTGATCACTGCCCAGACACCTGCACCCCAGATATTGCTGCATGCTGGAGCCCTGAAATGTTCAAAACTCATGAATCTGTTTACTGTCTGACTTGCACAAACTAAAGTCCATTCCCACACAGGTGAGACATCCACTTCTAGACGCTGTCTCTCCTTCTATGCAACACTACCCATGCTTGCCCCTACCCCAAATCTTGGTACGCAGCAGCCAGGCACTGCAGCGACACAAAGGTGCTGGCTCTACATCAGCTTACAAGTCTTGCAGACCTTGCTTGCAAGATCTTTCTTTTAAGCAGAAAAGCCTGAGAGGAAGTGGCAGGGAGACAGAAGGCTAGAGTGAAAGACACAGACACAGTGGCGTAGCAAAGCATAGCTGGGGCAGGCAGCCGGGCGCGAAAGGCGTCAGCTAATGAGCTGGAAGGATTCCTCGGAACCAGACCTCCCGGAGAAGCAACACGGCTCCCTTCAGCCCCGCCCCGGCCCTCGGCGCCCCGCCCGGCTCCTGCCCCAGCTCCTGCGCGGTGGCGGTGCGGGAGCTTTGTGCGCCCTGGCCGGGAGATGTGACCCATGGGCACCCGCCAGCCGCGGCGGGGGGCGGCTTGGCTGCCGCTGTTGCTGCCGCTGCTCCTGCTGCCCCCCCCCGCGGCGCACACAGGTGAGTTTGGGTGAGATGCGATGCCGTGGGTTCGGCGAATTTTGTTTTGTTTGTGGGTTTTTTGTTTGTTTGTTTGTTTTTTAAATCACTTTGCATCGGTTCAATTTCCATATTTCTGTCCTCTAATGTTTAGGTGGGAGAAGAGTGTCGTGTGTTTCTTTAAGGCTCCTTCATCTTCTCTATGACTGTGCTGGAATTAGGTTTTACAACTCTGTGTGTTTTCTGAATGTTAATTTACTTTCAGTTATAATTTGAAAGTAATCAGGCATTCTCTTGGAGTATTTCTTGCTCTATACTTTGTGTTAATTCCCTTAATACTTCTAGTATCTTCCTTTGTGCTTGACAGCCACCAGCCCTCAGGGTCCCACCTGAGCAGTAAGAGACAGGTTACAGCATGGGGCGTGCTGAGTTTTGGCCAAGTTCTGCTCTGTGTGCCAGTCTCGGCTGTGCCTCCCAACAGAGCAGAGCAGTGCCCCCGTAGCAGCCTAGGTCAGGGCAGCACAGGGGGGAGCAGGAGAGGAGTGGTGGCTGGAACGAGTGAGCGAGCGGTCTGGTTAGCAAGGACTTCAGCAGAAGCAGAGATGTGACCAGGTGAGAATAAGCTCATACACCTAAGCTGCTGAATGTATGCCTGTGGTGGGGCACTGCTGCTGCCAGAAGCATCTCAGGGGATTTCTTTGTTATATCCCTCCAGTATATACAATGCAAGGCATTAAGGAGATTAGCAGAGCTTCTAAGAAGGCTGTGGTCTTCGTTCTCTGGCTGTCTTCTGCAAATATTACTGCCCAAGCTAAGTATGTGAGGATGATCTTCCCATCTAAATTCACAGCAAAGCTTCTAGATCTGATGAGAGCTGGGCTGTATTAAGGGCATTCTTCGTCCCAGCTCTTGAGCATTACTGAGAAAAGTTTCAATTAGCTTATTTGACAGACTATTCTGTTATGCATCAGTTGTCTGGCTCTCAGGGAGAGCCATGTGTTCCTCCCGTAGGGCCAGTTTCCTTCCAGGCAGCCGACCATGCTGTGCTTACCTTGTCAGGGTCTGCTGAGCACTGGGTCAAGTATTTGGAAAATTTCTATAACTTCCAGAGAAGGTTTAGAAAAATGTCAAGGGGGATGAGTTGGCTTTGGGTAGTAGCTTTACAAGGCAGGAGGGAAATATCTTGCACAGTCCTGAGTTTTAGCTAGACCTCTTCTCTTGGTGTGCAAGACAGTAAAAGTTGTATTAATACATTCTGTCAGGATTTTGCTAGGAACGGAGAAAAAAAAACAACACATGAGGTGCTGATCCATCGTAGCAGCTCTCCCGCTCTCTTTCACCAGTGAGGTTATAGGTACATCAATCTCCTTTGGGTCTTTTCCTCCAACAGAACAAACCTGGGTTGCCAGTCACCAGCAGAGGCAATCCTGCAAATGCCACAGCAGTCCAAAGGCTGGGTCTGGTGCTGTTCTAGGAGCAGATCACGCAGGGGCCAGGTGCTGTGGCAAGCAGTCTGACAGCAGCACTTCACAGACCTGGGTTCCTGCATCTGGCAGGGTCTGTACTCTGCATGTTCTTTGGGAGTCTGCTATTTAGTTAATCTCCAAACAAGTTAACAAGCATGAAGCCTTTTATGGTGTGTTATTGGATACAGTCCTAGCCTTACTTGTGTATGTTAACTGTTGTCTGGGTCTCTGAAAGTTAGGTACTGCTGTCTGGGGCTGTGCGCCTACCTCACAGGTAACTTTGCAGTGCACACTTACTACTGTACTTCATTGGGTTTTTAGAAATTAGTACTTCATTCACTGCTAAAAATCTGTGCTGTAGTACTAATGCATAAGCATGGAAAATGAAGTTAAAAACAAAGGAAAATCCATTGTTTAATTAACAGGATCAGGAGATGCAGCAGTTTCTCTTTACACATCAGTTTAGCAATTTTTTTTCCAGCAGCTCACAAGGTTAGGGAAGGAAGGCTGGGATTCTTGAAAGCAATAGAATGTCATTCTAAGAATTTACCAAACTCTATCTTAAGTCCTTCCATATACTTCGAGATGAGGTTTCCTTAACCGTGTTTTTCTGTAGTTAGAGAAACCATTATATCTATCTTAGTAGACATATACTTATTCTGTACTGTAAAAACAGACATATTGTGCTGAACTTCAGGCACATTTGCTATTTCCATTCAGAAGAGGCACGTGATTCTCTGGAAGCAGATCTCTCATTCCTTGCACTTACTCTACTTTTCTCCATGTTGGGAAGCGTTCTTAGCATTGGGTTTCTCTTGGATGAAGCTGACCTGGAAGGAGTGTTGCATGAGTCCATCTAATGCGAGTACAGCTAGTACAATCTTAGAAGGAAAAAATAATGGAATAAGTCTAGAAAAGATTCTTTTTTTTCAACATTGATATTTCCATGTAAGAAATCTACTTGTACTGGCTTGCTTTATTCACCAATGTAGACATAGCTGTAGATGCAATTGAGTTGGAAGGTGGATGTACCAATTATCTTATGGTAGGATATTGAAAGCTTCCCCCTTTTAATGTTCTCTAATCGTGGCATAAATTATTTGGTCTGCACTGAGACATCTAGTTTAATTTGCTTCTTTCCTCTTCCACTTTATCATGGCATGTATTTTATTTTTACTAAAAAATGTCTGCATTTTGAGAAGCAGTCATCCCTTTAAGCAGATTTGTTTTCTTTCACAGTCACTAGAATGCTGAAACATACAAAACTTCTCTTTTTATAAAGGAATTATTCTGGGAAATACAAAATAAAAGGATTGGATCACAGTACGGGCCCTGCAGTTAAGCTATGGAGCTTGAGATTCGGAATCTTGCTTCTGTCCAAGCATTGTATTTTATCCTGTGAAAGCCATCCAAAAGGCGGGCAATGTTCCAACACTAATAATATGCTTCTTTTCCTCCTCACCTACACACAGTAATTCGCTGAGAAGGCGTGCACCAAATCTGAATTTTTTGAAGGAAGGGCAGAAAAGAAAAGCCGATCTCAAAGTTCAACAGTGCAGAGATGTTTATGCACTGACACAGGTGATCTAAGGTGTATTTTGGATCTGAGAAAAGGCTGATCTGTTAGGCATACACAGCCAGTAAGTATTAGCTGAGGTATTAAATAGCAGACTGAAGTGTCTGATATTTCATATTAAAGGCATGCAGCATGTGTGTTATACACAGGCTGATTGTCCTGTGCTCTGTGATGTTTTTGTGCTGTGAAGCTTCATTGCTAATAGTGGAATTGTATGGAAAGGCTGAGCTTTGTGTTCTGCAGAAAGAATTTTGGTGTCCTTTATTTTTGTGTTCTGTTATTTCTGTCTCTCTGCAGCGTGAAGGAGAGAAGAACAAATACAACATAGCGATAATTAAAAGGATATGTTGGCTGAAAGCAGACTACAATATATGAATATTTGAAAAACTCACCCTTATTTTCTCACCTGTGACCTGCTGTCTCTGGTCAGGCTGTTTCAGATAATGCCACAGTCTGTGCCCTATGTGTTGGCTCTGCTTACAATTTCCACAATTTCAAATTCTTATTGCCTGTTAATTAAGGATGTAAATAGTGAGAGTAGGTAATTCATCCCATAGAGAAATTTGAATGCTGTTGGGAAACTGGGATTAAAGCCCAAAACTTATATATGTTTTGCAGTTCCCAGTGTTACCATTGAGGTGCACCTCACTAGCTTATAATCTTATCCTTCCTTCACAGTTGTTCTCGAGCAGCTTTTGTATTTTTAATTCCAAGACAAGCAAGTGGTTAGTATTACTCAAGTCATTTGTATTTGTGTGGTGTGGTTTCTGTTTGTTTTTGTAGTTGTGGCTTGTACAAATTGATTTTTACTGATTGATTTCTCTCCAAGATTTGGTGTTGATTGTCTACAACTAGAAGATTAGTAGCTGAGGTCATCCTTTATAACCCAAACAAGATCTTTGTTTAAGAAGTTGAGATTTGTAGAAGCCTGAATTTTGGAAATCAAGTCTATCTGTAGATAAAAATGACTTTTCATTAGAAAGCTGTGTTTAAACAGCACATCTGTTTGTGCTTTGTTCTTTGTGTACTAGTAATTTGCGGAGTTTTTATCCACTGTTCATCATATTTTGAAGTGTACAATTAGATGGAGCAGAAAGAATTGGCAGTGGGATGTGGAACTGGAGGTATAGGGCAGTTTACATATGAATAGATTAAATAAGCTCTGCCTCTTTCTCATGGAAAATAGATCACTGGAGACGATTATATTCATCTGTTTTTTTCCTGGCTGGCTGGCTAACTTAAAGAGTATTTTAAGGTACAGGAAAGGACAGGAGAAATACCATAGTTTCCCCTACTTCATTGCCCAGCATTTTGAGTTACATCTCAGATGGCAGCTGAGCTGTTATTCAGCCTCCCATTTTTCACTTCCTTTTCTGTGATGGAAATCCAAACGTGTCCAAAAAAGAGTTACGAAAACTTTAGGAGAGGGAAAGAGGTTACTCAGGTTTATGTATTTGAGCTTAATCACACTCCATGCTCAGAAGCTCTGTGGTGAAAGGAGGTACTTTGTTTCATAGTAGACTTGTAAGGGCTGGAGAGAGCAGTAAGGCTAATACTTATTATTTCATGTGGTTTGGTTTTTGGCTCTCCTTGTACTTTCTGGAGATATATCAATATCCTGCTGTTAGGGTGTACTGAATCAGAATAGTAATGTGCAGGATGTGGCTCAGAAACACTAAAACTGTGCCTAGAGAGGGCTGAGACACGTATAATTGCTGGCAGCTTTTTCACATTGTGAGAAGGTAGTGGACAGACAGAAGTAGAGCTGTGTGACTCCTCAGTTGTGAATCAACCTGTAGCAGTCAAACATGATCAACAGCGAACTTCTCCATCGGCACAGTCCATGGGCAGGAAAAACATACATGTGTATGCTCTTCCACTGAACTTCAGAAATGAAACACTGTCCCTTGGATCCAGCTGTGTGTTGCCACCTTGAATAGTATTTCTGAGGCTTTCCTAAGTTGTAAAAGAAGTAGATGATTACACTGAATGACTTCCTCTGTACAGCGAAGTCACTTTGGACCTGTAGACGGGGTAAATAAGGCAGAAAATCATGTCTGGTGTTTTTAACAGAAAATACTTGCGAAGTCCAGGAAAGAAACTAAAAATAATCCCATACCTATTATTAAATGACACTGTCTTGTTCACATCTGAACTTACCGTGGGAGCACTCTGAACAGTCATACAGTGCCTTGAAACACACCAGTGTGTACCTCAGAGATTAGCAGAAATGGGCAGATACCCCAGAAAACCTTCCGTTCTTGTGAGTTCTCTACAAGCACTAGCTTCTCAAAGGCACAAGAGATGAGGTAGTGCAGCATGCTGGGTGCGTTAGCCCTGCCTCGCAGCTCTCTGATGCAGAAGGAAGTGCTTGGCCTTTTAGAGCTAGCTTTCCCTCAGAAGTGAGGGCTTTTCTTCCACTGACATCACATTCAATCTCTTGTCTGAGGGAAAACGTAGATTCAGAAAATAACATTTCACTAATTCAGATTTCAAGAAAAACAAAACCCCTTGTCTAGACAAGCTGTTGGTAGGTTGGAGAGCGAGGAACAACAGCCTTTAGGAATAAATAAAATCTTAACCTTTCTAAATGAACAGCCACTATCTTATAGATATAAGCACTAAATAGTGGCTCAGTTTATGTAAATATATACTTTATGAAAGGGTACATTAGGATTGCAACACGTTGTGTCAGAATTCAGCTGATAACTCTGACACAGCAGCAGTTTTACAACATTCCTTTTCAAAAAGAAATTTACTTAACCCTTGCATTTTGAAAAGTGTAAAAAGTCTGAAATATTTGAATTAAGCACTCATTTTCTTGGCTGCTGGGTTGTAGTTGGTCTAATAAGCAGATGTTTTTCATGCTAAATATGTTCTCAGGAGAAAAGAAAATCCTCAAACATTAGGCAGTTTGGCTATTTTTAATATATAATTTCAAAACATCTCTGTTGAAAAGCAAATGAGCTTTTAAAATTAACAGTTATTTTAGATAGAAAAATACTTCTGCATTTCAAACTTAATAAAATATCATTCAAGTATTTTTCATTTTTGTAAAAAAAAAGAAAAAAAACCCACACACCTCTGATGAGTGATGATTCTCAAAGTCATATCGGGGTTATGAGTAATCTTAGACTTTCTATCAACTTGTTTCATTCCAATATTGATCACTTAAGATTAATAGAAAACATGCAGTAACTTTCTCCTATTTGACTGCATCAGGGGCATATTTTTGCAGTAAGACATTGTTGGGTAATATGAGCTCTACCCTTGCACTTGCAAACTTTCAAAGTGGTGGGGAAGAAGCACTTGGGTCTCTGGAAAATGGCAAGGCAGGCCACACCTTGTATTGGCACCCTCTCTTCATCCTACCCTCACTCCTTTTCCAGGTGATCTGCTCAGTTTCACCTGATTCCAATGGCAACCTGTCTATTTTCTTCTCAAACAAATCCACATACCTGGGTCTTGTCGCTCACATTTTCCCACCTCTTCTGCCATTATTTCTGCTTTTCTGTCTGCTCCACCATCTCAATTTCATTTAGTCCAATGACACTGTTTCTGTCCCCATCTTTCTCTCCCTTTTCCACATACCCGTTATGAAGAGGTTGTTACTGGTGGGTTTGATTTCTCTTCTGGGAGGGCAAGATTTTGCTGTGTGGTTACGTCTTGAGCACTGTTATGGTTACAACAGGAAATCACCTCCACAGTCCTCCTCCAATTCCCACCACCACTGAAGTAAAAGAGCTTCACTAGCCCAACTTCATGTGCAGAAGTCCCAGTGCTCCAGCACCCACCAAGAGAAAGGGATGCTTCAGTGACTCCTGCCTGCCTCTTCCTCCTCACTATACAATCTGTTGAATTCCAGAAAAGAGCTCATAAGAATCAGCACAGAGGAAATCTTTCAGGCTGACTTTGTTAAACAAACAAACAAAAAAGTTAACTCATCTCTTTTAATTGTTGTAAAGATGACTAATATCAGGCAATGACATTTGCTAACGTGTATTCCTGGCTCTGTGGGGTTTCCCTTCCTCTCTGTAACTTCTGAGCTCCCGTTTTGGCTCAGTTCCCCTGTTTACTATCTCATGCACTCCCTCGCATTCCTGCATGGCCAGTGCCAACTTGCTTCAGACTGTAGATATGCCAGAAAAGACAGTCATAGTGCTCTGCTAGCAAATACTACTAAACGTTATGTCAGCGGACACTTGTTCTGAGTACAGCCATTTTTATAATATACTTAAATGTGTTTGAGGCAATATTTTTCATTTCAAACAATGTATTCATCTAAGCAGATGAGCTGGAGGAAGAAAAAAAGAGTATGAATTCAGCAGCAGAGAAGGAGCAAGCAAGATTGCACAAGAATTTGGTGGAAGTCACCCATAGCTGAACAGAAAGACAGGGCAGTGTGTTACAGCACAGCCAGGAGTGAACATCCAGTGTGCTCCATTGCTCCTACTTTACTTGCCATTTCACTGGTGGTTCTGATGCCAGTGAAAAGGTGAATCAGGAACTTGGCATCTCTGAATGTCTGCTCCCTTGTGGACATGTGCAAGTTGGATTAGATCAACGGCTCTGAAGTGACAGCTGCAAATCACAAGGCATGGGGAGCAAATGTCCATTGTGATGCCCTTAATCTCAGCGCCTGAGGCAAAGGAGCCGCTACCATCAGAGGTGGTCCCAAGGGCTACTCTGCATAGGAAAATGCAACAGCAATTGAAGCCAAAGTCTTCTCTGTCACTGTCAGAAGAGGAGTTCTTCATTTGTGGAGAGGAAATTGATAAGGGAGGAGTACCTGCTTTTTACTGCCGTAGGTATTCGAAAAAGCTTTGTTGAAGTAAGACTTAAGACTCTCCTTTCTGTTTTAATTCTTTCCACATCTCTCACTGACTTAAATTACATCGAATAGTTGTCTAGAGAAATGCTCCAGCTTTCTAAGTCATTTTATTTTGTTGGAAAATTTGGTGGGACAGCAATCCTCGTTGCCATGACACAGTAAAATACAACAGGTGATCATTTGTATTGAGAGCAGCACAGTCAAACACCAGTACTAAAACCATACACGTTTCTGTGGCAACAGCTCAGTTTTCAGTGGTTATTTGTCTTCTCCCCATCCTATAACTTTAAAAAAAACAATTCTATATGTTTGTGCATTTATGTATTTTTATACTTCGCAGCTGCTATGTTGTCTAAATCAAGAGACACGTTAACAAATGTGTTCACAGTGAGAGAGCTGAGGCAGCTGTATTTGTCCTGCAACACTGACATTAAACACAGCCATTTATCACTGAATTAGGCAACACTGCCTCTGTACAGACAGAAAGCAGACACACTGAGCAGATAATAGTTACAACTGGAAATTACATGTGCTTATATTTGTGTAGGTGTGCACACACATATTCAGGTGTGTATAGATAGACGTAGCTGTACCCGAAACCAAGGTTTGAGCACTAACAACTTGAGCAAGGCACGTACATGGTGCTGAGCTGCATGCTCTTAAAACCGACCGCATTTCTCAACCCAGCAGGCACTTTCACAGAGAGAGGATGAGGCACCTGCTGTGAAGTCTTTTACTCATGTGAATAGTCTCACTGACGTCAGTGGGCTTTTTCGCTCACATGTGAAGGTGTTTTCAGGCTAAGTCATATCTGTTTTGAAGAGCCTCGCAGTAGTGTATTCTAAGATCAGGACTTGGCTCTTCAGTGCAGCGGTGAAATTTACAAGCCTATATTGCTACATTCTTTCCAGCCAAGGTGTGCAAAGAATTATAAAGATATGAAGAACACCATTGCTCAAGGTTTGATTTACAGTATTTCCAAACACGGTAATAAGAGCTCCAGGTTTTTTTCGCATCCAATAAATAAATAAAGGAAATTATTTCATTATACTGGAAAGTGATGACAGCCATTGCAGTCTATCTATGAGACAGGCTGAACCTAGAAAAGCACATTGCGTGACTGATTTGTGCTCTCATGTAGGCCACTGTAAACTGAAAACACGTGACATCCATGCTATTAATCCATTAATGGAAAGAAAATTGGAGTATGGTGGGTTATATTTTGTTTAGAGATGAGATACTGAAATAAGCAGCTGATAACTTTGGGAGATGCAAGCTATGTCTACTCTATTTTATGCACATGCCTCCTGATGTTACAGAGCATCATGGAGACATGAAGGAATTCTTTCTTAGCTCTTCTCATAGAAATAGTGGAGTATGGCAGTTTTATTCCTGTTTTACAGATGTAGAATCGAGGACTAAAAAACATGCGTTGTTTATCCATGGAGCAAACAGATGCACCTACAAAAAACACATAGAGAAAGTAAATCTCTTCCATAGCAGCTGATGGAAAGTTAACGGTCTCTGTCCCTCTGCTCCCAAATCACATTGAACTTGGGGTAAATTGGAGTGTGTTTGCAGCGTGATAGTGCTTTAGATCTTGTAAAGATAGAGCCTGTGGGTTCTGTTGGCTGAGATTGGCTCATCTACTGCAGTCAGTGTTTCTGTTTTGAAACTTCATTTACCACATCAGAAGCCACGTTAGGCAGAGATAAAATTGAAAAAAAAAAATATAAAAAACACATGTTACTAGTTTAAAAATGTTTGAGTGTAACACATAAGTTCATGACTCCTGCTACTTTAAAATGTGCTTAAGGAATATAAATGTTTTTATTCAAGGTTGGGCAGATGTCAAAAGGTGCAGGTACACAAAACCATTTAGAAAACCAGAGGAAGAAATTTGCTTTGTTTGTGATGAGCTGGCTGGTTCCATTCACTGACCATGCATTAGCCCCACATTTTATAGAACTTTAAAAGAAAAAAAAGTATGAAATGTGAACCGACAGGGAAGGCTTCAGCTTTCTTCTACTCAACTCAGATATAACACTGGCTAATTTTTTATGAGGCTTATCAAAACAGGCCTGGCAGTGACCTTAAGATCCCACCTGTCCCACTACCCTTAGGCAGAACCAGCTGTGTTGTGTGGCAGATAGTACTCTGATCTGCCCTTTGAAACATCCAGAACCCTCCAG